ACCGTTCTTTCATCGAATCTATAGTCTTCTCCCGCATCCTCAGCTCTTCCAGAAGCTTCTGATGGGCTACAATATCAACTAAAAATAGCAACAACAAATGTAGTGAAAATTGCATATGATCAACCACATGTGTTGGTGACAATACGAAAATTCTGAGAAAATTTCGGGAAATTTTTTTATCATTTGAGAGCGAACACCTGAGCTCAGCTGAGGAAAGCGATTATGTATTTCAACACTGCCAAACAACTGCCCGGCGTAACTTTTCTTGTGAAAATACTATCGAAAACGCAAAGTGGCGTTTAACACCAAGTGTATATCGTGGAAATCGCGATGTGATATGAAGTCGAATCACTTCGCGAAAAACGCCTCGCAACTGAAGTCATATCGCGAAAAGAAGGGCGCCGCCCCGCTGGCAAATATCGCGTTTTTCACGTACAGTTTCACACCAGTGGGGGAAAGTACGCATATGGTCAACTACATGTGCTGGTGACAATATGAAATTTGTGATAAGAATTTTTTTGGGAAATTCTTACACTTCTACCCAAATTCGTATGTGAACTCCTAAGCTCAGCTGAATAAATTTCCGTCCATTCTCATTAGTTTCTCTACACTTCTATCCGAATTCATACATGAAATTCTGAAACAGCAAACATATATTTCTCCAACACTGACTCTGATTTCGTTCTTTTTCAAAGGCAATTTGTCTGTACCCCTCCACTTCTCTTTTCAGATTCTTAATCTCAGCTTGCAGCTCTTGTACCAAACCTAATATATATAAATATCTCATACCATTCCTCCCCCACTTCCCCACCCTGAGTGCCGAAGTTCTGCCTCGCTGAAGTCTTGATGGTCTTCACACTACTGGCAAATCTAAGAGTACCTAAAAAACTTCGCTCCGCTCAATTTTCACAATCTTGCATTTTTCCACCACAAATGCAATTTCCAATTTTTTCCTACTGAATTGTAAAATCTATTTTTCACTAGTATTTTTCATACCTAAAAAACTTCGCTCCGCTCAATTTTCACAATCTTCAATACTGCATTTTTCACAACTTCTCTATCGAAATGCAATCCCAATTTTTTCCCAGTGAATTGTAAAATCTATTTTTCACTAGTATTTTTCATACCTAAAAACTTCGCTCCGCTCAATTTTCACAATCTTGCATTTTTTCCACCACAAATGCAATTTCCAATTTTTTCCTAGTGAATTGTAAAATCTATTTTTCACTATTATTTTTCATACCGCTCCATCGCGTTCTAAGCCCCCCCTTCAACACTACCAAGAGTTTCCTCAGTTTCAGATGAGGACGGGCTTATAGTAGCAATCATAAAAGTTCGGCTGTTTCCACAAAGAGAATCCTTCAACAAAAATGTCAACTTAGAATTCCGAAATGGTATGTGGTATTCTCCACCAGAAGCTGAATCAGATAAAAATGCAATACATTTCTCGCTTCGCTCCGCTTACACAATTTTCCCATTTTTTCCGACAGTTCCCTGATACATATACCCAAATTCGTGAGACTCTGGTTAATAGCAGTGCCTTCTTTCAACCTCTGAATTTATGCAATGATCATCAATATAATAAATTATTTTTTTCAGAAAAATTCTTGATTTCGTTAACAATTTTTTCTGTGGAATTATTCTAAAATTCTCCACCACAACTTTATGAAATTATATAATGGAGTTTCACAACCCGTTTTACATGAAGTGGCGTGCACCTCGGTGAAAAACGCAATATTCGCGGTGATATGCAGTAGTCGTGAAAACTGTTTCTCACTAGTGTTTTACATATCACTAGGGTGAAAATCAACTTATTATCAATTCCGGATTCATTCAACTTAAGTATTAATTTTCTGCAAGAAAAATCTAATTTTTATTTTTTCCTTTTTTTCTAGGGGAAAAAATTTCTCCGAAACTACTGCGAATTTCCAATGATTTTCCAACACCACCTCTTTATCTCTGAAAAAAACCGTTACTACACACCGAGCAAAAATCGCATGTGCGCAGAATTTACCAAATCAACTTAAGCATTATTTTAAATTTTCTAATGCGCATGAAAAATTAAAAACCATTTCTCATGTATGCATCTTATCCACCATAATACTACACCCAAAATTTTTTTCCAATTTTCGGAAAATTTTCTGATCCAACCGTAAACCCTTCACATTACCTCCCCTTCTGCACCCGTCTTTCCACTCCTCTCGCTACCAGACAGGTCCACCAAATTTAATCTTGAGTTCAAAGAAACCTCAAAAAATAAAACTTTCACACGACCAAAGATTTTCATAGTAATATAATTTTCGCGGTGCGTTCTCGAATCTGTCAACACCACAAAACTACCAGAAAATATGCA